TTCCAGAGAAACGATCGACTTGTCGAACGAGGCCGAGGCCGCGCTCTTGCCGTTCGGGCTAAAGGCCATCGAGTAGACGGCGGCGCTGTGGCCCGAGAGGAGCATCGTGGGCGCGAGGAGGTCGGACGTCCGCTGGCTGCTGTCGGCCTTGGCGCTGATGGTCACGACCTTAGCGTCCACGGGCACGATGGCCGAGCTGCGCGGGAAGGTCTGGTTCTCATCCGGGCGCGCGCGCTTGGCCAAGGCCGTCGTCTCGGCGTCCGGCGCCGATCGCTTGTCACCGCCCATTTCCTCGCTGTAGCACCGCTGGGCACGAACGATGGAACGTGGCGTCGCACGGATTAAAATGCACTTGCAGTTTGTATCTGATCCGGATTATTTTAATATATGGGATATTCTATGTTTATGATACAAGAAAGGGCAAGATGCGTTAATTTCCGTCAATTCCTTGCAAACGTTTTGTACACCTCTGTGTAGCGTTAGTCTCCCGTCGAGAAAAGTCGGATTGTTGCACCTTTGGCGCCCGCTTCAATCGACGGCGAGAGGCAGGCTGGAGGACTCTGCGTCCCCAGGCAGCAACCAGCAACCAGAGACGTTGCATCCGCAGGCAGCAACCAGAGAGACATGGGTTTTTAGCGTTTAAATGACAAGAACTGCGGTAGAAAGCGCGATGCATAACCGTTTGCGGCGGCTATTCTTGCGTTGAAGTCTTTCTAGCGCCTCCCGTCGATGGCTGCTGCCAGGACCGACCTCTACTACGTGCCCGAGAGCTTGAAGCGCGAATTCTCGACGCACGAGCTCGCAGAGTTCTTGGACCAGGTACCAGAACAGACTCATGCCAAGCCGCTCAATTTGGGTAGTTCAAGGCCTTTGACACGAGTGGCGACGGCGGCATCGGTCTGGCCCGTTGCATTGCCACGTAGCTGGACATTGATGATAGATGTCAACGAGCTCTCGACGATGATGGCGTCCATGAACGTGCACATGGAGCGCACCGAGGTGCTGCGTGGCCGACGTACTCTGACGGCTCACACGCGATGTACTAGCTACTGCAGCTCATTGCAGCCGTCGATGAAAACAACTCGGGGCAGATTGAATTCACCGAGTTCGTGCGGGTACTCTTCTTGCTTTAGAGCGTTTGTGTACAGAGCCGGGGCCTAGATGATGAGCAACCTCCGGCGCGGCAAAGCCAACAAGCTCGGGCGGTTCATGCAACTGGCGAAACAAGCGTTCGAGATTCGGCGCGAGTACACGGCGACCGTGACAACACCGATTCCAGGCTGCGTCATCGAGCCGTTCTCAAGTACGTACTTGTTTATTCAAGTTGAAAGGTTGAAACACTGGAGAAAGAGGACATGCGGCAATGGCACGTGCACATTGCGGGGCCAGAGACGTCGCCGTACGCCGGTGGCCGCTTCACTTTTCACTTCGAGTTTGCCGTTTGCGTATCAATGTTGCAATGTATCAAGAACGCGATGTTAGATTTGGTCACGAGTACCCGTACGAGGCGCCGTCGGTGCGCCTCCTTACGCGCGTGTATCACTTGAACTTTATTGTGCTCGTCGACGGCTCCGCGTCGGCCGAGTGCCTCACGCAGCTGTGGAACCCAGGTTAGCGCTTGGCGATATATGAGATCTGATTTTTACGAACTTAGATTGGCGCAGTCGCGACCTCATCGAGCGTATCCAAGCGCTCCTTCTCGCGCCCGACCCCGCGCTCATGGAGCCTCTCTACAACAGCGCCGAAGCGCGGCTGGAGCTCCAAGGTTTGCGCTATGCAGGCACGACTGTTCGCAGCTTTGGTCTCGACTGTCTTCGCCTCTTCCACACCGACTACGAGGCGTATTGCAAGCATGCAAGGGACACGACAGCCAAGCATGCGATGCGCGCTGTACCCACCTCTTGAGAATCGATGCTCTTTTGAGCAATTCAACGTTGCCACCGTCACGCTAGCGCAATCTCGTGTGTTGTGAACAGAGGCAGTCGACTGCAAGACTACGGGTGGGATGGCTGCGGAACGCAGAGTCGGCCATAGCTTTCACTATACACATCGCCATATGTAATATTCCCTTGCTAGTATCTGCCGTCCAAGTGGACAATCACACCAACGCACTAAACAATTCAGATAGTTACAAGGTTCGTAGAAAACGTTAGTCGTCGAGGGACGAAAAGTTGCCGCTGCCACCGCTGCTTTCAGCCGCAATGCGCTTGGAGAGCTCGGCGGCGGCGGCGCCAATCATGAGTTCTCGCTTCGAGACGCTCTTGTTGCGGTGGCTGATGCTTTGGATGCGGCCGCGTGGGTTCGATGCGTTGTTAATGGAGCTCTTCCCATTGAGGTCCATGACGTTGATGGACGGCGGGCCCGAGTTGTTGCTGCTGGTCGAGTCACGGTCCATGAGGCCCTTCTGCTCGTGCATCGAGAGGAGGCGGTGCTGGTGCAGAAGCGACCGAATCCCTTGCTTGACGCCGTAGAGCCACCGGCTGAGCGTGATGTACGGGACTGTCCAGCGCACAAAGAGCCAGAGGACGACCAGCAGCAATAAGTACTGGTTGGGGATCACAACGTGCAAGATGCAGCTCACGATGAGGCCGATGAGCACATACCCCGTGTAGAAGAAGTCCTCCCACGAAAACAAAAGCTCGATCGACTTGACGACGCCTGACCACCACGCCATGTTGTTCTGGACGTTCTGCAGCGTATGGCGCGTCTCGGCGTCCGTTGTGAGGCGCGTCATCTTGTCCGTGATGTGGTGGAAGCCCTGGGGCAGGTTGTACACGCGCGCTTGGCCGTCGAGGAGGTTGCTGCTGCTGCTGCTCGGCTCGAGGCTCGACGATGTGTTGAAGCTGGGCGGCGTCACGACCGACGAGATCGGTGCTTCCGATGGCTGGAGCTTGACGGTCATGTCAAAGTGGTTACGCAGCACGAGGCCGATGAGGAAGAGGTGCACTAGCACGGGCACCCATCGGATGTAGACGCACATCCAG